TTTGTACAAGATTGGCCATTGATTTTATCCTCCGAAGAATCTCTAATTCCTATTGGATAAGGGAAAAGTATCTATGTTACAATATTTCTTATTTGTGGATTCTCCTCCATATAACTAGTCACATAGTGGCAGTAGTTATACACTTTCAGCACAAACAAGGTAAATTCATCACCACCTGATAATTTTATGGAGCAGATAAACTGTTTCCTGAAGCTGGGCACTCTTCGTATGTCACAGTGAGTCTGTTTTCAATGTCACACCTAAAGAACAACCAGCATAGAAGTTAAACAAGCACAAAGGAAGGACCTAAAAAATAATAATTAAGGATGTGTGATAAACCTCTCTAAGATGTGCCCCCTTTCAGACATTGAATGACTTAGGATGACACCAGCATGAGAGGCCCACTCAGAGGTCGGTGGCTTTTCTCTGTTGGAGTTCCAAATTGGGCCTGTACTGCTTCCTTCTCTGACGTAGATGGCTCATTTTTGGATCCATTTTTATGCAGATCATTTTTCCATTGATTGTCGAAGTCCACCAAATCATTAGTTTCCAGAACTTTTTCCTTCTTGCTCAGGCACTCGACTGGGGTTACTTCATCACCCCTTACTTTTTCACTAAATCTTAACATGGTCAACAAAACAAGTACACATAAACACAAACTAAGCATACATACAGACCAAACTAAAAATTCAGTAACATAGTGCCAATTTTTTAAAAACTCTGAGCAGTTAATCACATCAAAACATGTTTACTGCGTACTGCCATCTGTGGAATCTTGAACTCATCAAAAATGGTTGCTCTACTGAACAGATTTATTAAAAAGAGAAGATGCTTAAAATGTGACAACAGGTGTGCACCGCCATTTATCATTGAAATACTACTTCCAACTAGTCTACGTTTGGCAAAACTGATATCAGGAACCTTTGATTATCTCAAGTCATTGGATTTAATATCTCAAAACATTTCAATAAAAAAAAATTCTCTTGCATTAATTATATATCCTACTCATTTGAATCAAACAACACAGGAAAACTCATCATTGTCACTTTGTTCTGAAATGCCTCATATGGATCACAGAATTCAGTAATTTTATAAAAATAACCATTTGGTTATAATCCCTGTGACAAGTGACAACTATATGTATCTCACATGTCACAACCCTAAAATAAACACAATTTAGTGCAATGTATTTGACAATAAATATGATTCCAAGCATGAAAATTTAGTGCATTTTTAACTACCGATTGTATAACAGTTACCTGAAAACAATGCCATTTGTATATTTTGATCTCCTTAATGTACATCTGGAATTTGATGCATCCTGCCAGTGATAAGTTTATGAGCTATTTTTCTTTCTAATGCAACACTTTTGAAAAAATTAGTCATATACGTAACCAGAAGCATCATTTGATCAAACAAACTTGGAGTGCCACAGAATAATATAAATATTGCTACAGGGGAAAAAAATACCGTAGGATTGACAAATGATTCCGTGCTCTCATCTTCTTCCCCAATTTCTTGTATTTCATCGTCATCTTGAACCTGACACAAGGAGAGATACTCGTCTGCACCACTTAAGAAAGTTCAAGAATCTAGCTACTCAAGATTGTCATTATCTTTATATGACATACAAGAAATAAAGAAAATAAATGTAATGTACATACCTGGGATGCTTGGGCTTTTAGATCCTCAATATCGAAATTCCACGCACTAACACCTCGCTGATACTCACTCTGACAATGACAACCATGAATTTACCACCAGAAAGAAGATGAAAAAAAGGAAAAGAAACCAAATGCAGTTTAGGTTCCACTTAAGCAAATCCCACACTATATTTCCTCTATTCCAATTTTCTTTCGATGCAAAAAATAAAATGTCCATAATGTTACACTACCAGTTTACTTTATTTCTCCTAAGTTGATGGGTATTTATCCATTGTTAAATGAAGAAAACATAAGTTCAAAGCATGAACACGGAACACATGAATCATGATACTAGAGAGTGTGATAAGTCCATCAATACATATGTACTACTTAATTACAAAGAATAATCCAGCAAGACATGAATATATACAGATTTTAAACAATAAGGACTTTCTTGGCAAGGACAAGTTTGAAAACATTTTGAGAAGGGAAAAAAAGTTACTAGTGTTCTTGTCTATGCTGCTAATACAACCATAAATTGATTTATGGATTCAAGTGAAGTAATTAAGTGGAAATTGAGAAATGTTTTCACACCCTTTCTCCAAGTTTTTTTTAAAAAATGCTTCTCTTCATGGAAGTAGATAGCCTGATGGTTACAAAATTTCTGGCCAAATGAAATGTGTTTGTCCGGAATAATCATGAGGACTCTATGGCGGCATATTTTTTAGGACTCTATCAAAACCTTCTGCATCGCTGCTCATGAGGCTTATGCCTGACGGAACCATTGTCAAAAGCTTCTTTTTTTCTTTTCTTTTTTCCCAATTTGGTTCACATTTATTGTTGCTTTGGAACAATTAGGAGATTCTTTGCTTTTGGCGGCAACATGCTAATGGGCTATGGTCTTGGTTATGGGGTCAAATCAAAGTCATAGTGTTTGGGGGTTTGATTGAGAAGCAATAGAGACTTTGCATATAAAACTTGAGGATTGGCCTTCCATTGCTATCAATTTATACGTATATGGCTACAATTATCTGCTCCCAAACTGAAAAAAACCTCAAAAGCAAGAAGAAAGGGGGAAGCGTGGAAGAAACAAATGTAGAAAAATTAAATCCAGTAACAAATCAGAAACCAGCCATGATTAGGCAACAATATGGTCTATAAGAACGGATAAAAGATCAATCACCCCCATGACGACCCCTTGGTGCTCACCATGACGGTGGCCAATTTTCATGTGCACAGGATCCTGGTGGATAGTGGTAGCTCTGCGGATATCCTGTTTGCAGAGGCCTATGACAAGCTCAACCTGGGCAGGGAGAGGCTACAAACCAATCAGGTCACCCCTCATTGGATTCTCAGGGGAAAAAGTGTATCCCCTTGGATCCATCACACTTCCCGTCACCAGTTGAGGAGCCCAAATAGTCCAATTTATGTGTTAAAGTCCAACCCCAGTTGAGGAGCCCAATCTCATTTTGATTCCACCAAGCCCAAGACAGTCCAAGACCAGTTAGACTTTTTGCTTAGCACGTCACCAAGAGGAGAGCATGTGAAGCTTATCTGCACCACCGAAGGAAACGGTCCAATCTTTGACCACGTTTCATGAAGAGCTCCCCAACCTCCTCCTTCCTTGAGGATAAGTCGTGATCTCCACCAGAATAATCTCTTAGCTGCGATAAAGAAGCCTTGAGGATAAGTCGTGATCTCCACCAGAATAATCTCTTAACTGCGATAAAGAAGCCTTGAGAATAAGTCATGATCTCCACAACAATGATCTTTTAGCTGCTATAAAGTAGCCCCAATCTGTGAGGAGACGGGAGATGAAGGTCACACACCACCAACACTTACAGAGGATAGATCGACGACCGGATACCACTTTATTTGATTCTCCATTCTCTCAAAGCTTGTATCTCTATTCTCCATACCTCTGAATTAATAAAATACCCTGCAATTGAAGCCATTGAAGTGTAGACGTAGGTCGAATGGACCGAACCACTATAAATTGTGTCTTCTTTAATTCTTTCATCGATTTCACTGCATTTATTATCTACACTTGACAGGTGGTGTGCAAAATTATTTTTGTGCATCATTATATATATATATATATATATATATATATATATATACTAATAAAAAAAAAGCATAAACTTTAAGCATTAGCCTAATGGGTGATGTTCTAACTTAGTTTAAATCATAATAATCAGTCGTTGAATTTAAAAAATTAGTCGGTGCATGTGTAAATACTTTATAATCAAAAAAAATATAAAAGCATTAGGAGAAAAAAGAAACAAATAAAAAAGGAACAAACTCAACAAGAGGAGAAAAGGAGGATAACTTGAAAACAAAACACATCCATACAATTTCTCATGTATTGTGGGAGTTAAACAGAAAAAAAAACCATATGTGGTGGAGATATGAAACCTCATCCACAATTCAGTTGAACGAGGTGCTACCAAAACCAGTTGGCTCTGACACAATCAACCCTCCAGACAATGAACCAACCCGACTTTTTTATTTTTTTCATCACCTCTCACAATCCCAATGCAAGCATATCCACATACTATCTTGTCAACACTCACGAGTCACGAGTAATGGGGCAAACATATAAGCGGGCTTAGACTAATTTTAATGATATATCTCCTAAAGAATAAGTATCAGCGAACTTTAAAGAGTGTAAAAAATATCGAAGATGAGACATCTTACTTATAAAAAGATAAATTTAATTACTGAATTATCTCTAAAAATTGACAAAGATTTAATTTTGTTGATGTTATTAAATATTATTATGGTATCAAACCCAATGTTATAATAAGTAATTACGTTATTTTAAGGTTTGAATAAATATAGTTAGAGCAATAAATCTTATAAATGCAAAGCGAAAGTGCAATGTAAATCTACACGCTCTTCTGGATTTTGATCTCATTTGTTATGCGAATTGCTTCAAATTGAATTAATGCTCGATCTCACATATTAATAGAACTTAACAAAATTAAATAAATATCAATTAAATTAATTTTAATTTATTAATGTCAATATTAAAAGTTTAAATTTATTAGATTATTCCTTTAATCTCATTGAATCTTATTCTAAATTCTTTTTTTTGGGGAGGGAGAGAGAGAGAGAGAGAGAGAGAGAGAGAGGGGCATGGTAGTAAAAGGTGCAAAAATGTCATCATCTGTCAACCGGCCCACAAAGGAAGAAATAATGGGACTTGGGCCGAAGGATTGAAAATGAATGATCTCTATTATTTCTCCGATTCGAACTGGACTCGGAGCTGAGTATAATCCCAAGAAATTCAAGAGAGAGGAACGCTGTTTATTTGGAGAGAGAAGAGCGGGGAATGGGAAGAGCGTTTGTGTACGTGATACTTGGGGGAGGAGTCGCAGCTGGATATGCAGCTCTTGAATTCGTCAAGAAAGGTGTCTCTCATGGTGAACTCTGCATCATCTCTGAAGAAGCTGTATATTACTCCTCTCTCTCTTTCTCTCTGTATGCATATTTTATCATTTGTTTTCCTTTTTCCGCTATTGGATTCTTTTCTCTTGTGTTCTATGCTTTTATTGGTTAGTTAATTACTTCATCATATTCTGAACTCGGTTCAGAGAT